AACCACTAACATACAAAAAATATCGTTTAAAAGAATGCTTAGTTAAACGTGTACTATTTACTTATAAGTAAAGTGATATTAATTTAAGAACTTTTTATGTATCCAAATTATAAAAAGTTACTTTATTTAGAACTTATTTTTGTAAAAGAATTTTATGAAGAAATCACTTTAATTATTATTTTTAATTAGGCAAAACAGAGACCAAGATCAAATTTAAGTGCTAAGAACTAACCCTTGAGATCGAGCTCGAGCTCGACAGACTTGCTTAATCCATAGTAATGTTTACTTTTTAAAATTCTTGAACACACACGAGACGCGCATTGGCTGTCCTGAGCCAGTCAATCAACGCGTACGGGACCTCGCCCAAGTGTCCCAAGAACACAAATCATCAAAACGACCAAAATACCCATGCTAAAATTACAATAATCAGATTATTCGATGGATATTATAGTCCACACGCACCCCAAATATTCCCAACATTTCAAAGATTATAAATGAAATGGTTCCTATAGAATTTGGGTATAAGACAACAGAAACGGCTTTCAATCAAAACAACCCAACTTTTCCTGGTTTTTTTTTATCTGTCTGTTGCATTATATTACTGTAATTAATTCCTTACAATATTCCATTTAAATCTTTTTTGAATTTCTTTTGTCAATTTCAAGAAATCTGTTTTCTGGGTTGTCATAAATATATTCAAGGGTGCTTGCAGATCTCTAGTTCGGTAGGGTACTTTTTGAGCTGCATTTTTGTGGGATTTTGAAATCAAGGGGGTTTATATACGTATAGATATATAGAGGTGGGTGGGAGTGAGGGAGATATGTTGGGTGTATCAAGAATATGGGAGAAAGTGTCTATGATGGCAGAAGGGGGATCTCATTATTGTTCTAAGAAGACGGATGATATTTGTGATGAGGTAAGGTGTTTTTTTTCCTTGAATTTAAATGTATAGATTCGTTCAAATCTTTGGGTCTTTATTTGTAATAAATCTTGTTGAATTCATGCTTGCTAATTTGGGTTTCTTGGGAATGTTCTGTGCAATTCAATGATTTTATGTTACTGTTCTCTCTCTCTCTCTCTCTCTCTTTGGGTAGGGGGTGGTTTGGGTTTGCAAATTCGATTTTGACACCTTAAAATTCAAAATTTTGGGGCTTTTGGTATGTAAGTTCGAAAATTTCTAAAACCAATATTAAAGATTCAAGATCTCTTTTCACCTGCAAGTTATTTTCTCACAATGAATTTTTGGTCTTATGTTTTGACAGTTGGAATTCAAGAATATAGTTCTTAAGCTCTCTTAATAGTTTAGGCTTCGAGGAGTTCATGGTTGATTAAAATTCAATTTCTGCAAAATGCGAAATTTTGACGAGTCAGAAATATGCATCTTTTGCTGATGTTCTGATATTCTCAATTTAGTGTAGATGTCTCTTCTTATTCCATAATGCAATAGAAAAACTTCCTGGATAACAAATGTGGGTATATTGTTCTTGATATGTACACGAGCTTCGTATATGTCATAATGAATACTGTTTTTTAACGTGCAGGATTCAGGTCGGACCTTGAGCATGGCGAGATTGAAGTGTATTCTACGTGGGCTGGATATAAAGGCCTATATATTTCTTTTCGTCTTGGTCCCAACGTGCGTTTGTGTTATATATTTGCACGGACAAAAGATCACATACTTTTTGCGGCCTTTATGGGAGTCGGCACCTAAGCCCTTCCATGAAATTCCTCACTATTATCAGGAGAATGTTTCCATGGAGAATCTTTGTAAACTTCATGGTTGGGGAACACGTGAGTATCCAAGACGTGTTTTTGATGCGGTGTTGTTTAGCAATGAGCTGGACATGCTCAAGCTAAGATGGAAGGAATTATACCCTTATGTGACGGAGTTTGTTCTACTTGAGTCAAATTCAACATTCACTGGACTGCCAAAGCCTTTCATTTTTGCTGCTAATCGAGATCGATTTAAGTTTGTAGACTCGCGGTTAACTTACGGGCAAATTCCTGGGAGATTTCATAAAGGACAAAACCCTTTTATTGAGGAAGCATATCAGAGACTTGCTTTGGATTATCTTCTCAAACAAGCCGGTATTCAGGATGATGACTTGCTGATAATGTCGGATGTTGACGAGATACCAAGTAGACACACTATTAATCTCTTGAGGTGGTGTGATGACATACCTTCAATCCTCCATCTTCGGTTGAAGAACTATTTGTATTCATTCGAGTTTCTTGTCGATAATAATAGCTGGAGAGCTTCAATTCACAGATATCAATCTGGGAAGACGAAGTATGCACATTATCGGCAATCAGACGACATTTTGGCAGATGCAGGGTGGCATTGTAGCTTTTGCTTCCGACGCATTAAGGAGTTCATATTCAAGATGAAAGCTTACAGTCATGTGGATCGTGTCAGATTTTCTCATTATATGAATCCTAGAAGAATCCAAAGAGTAATCTGCAGAGGGGCTGATTTATTTGATATGCTACCTGAAGAATACACCTTTAAAGAAATCATCGGGAGAATGGGGCCGATTCCCCATTCATACTCGGCCGTGCATCTCCCTGCATATGTTTTACAAAGTCCTGAAGAATATAAATTTCTCTTGCCCGGGAATTGCATACGAGAAAGTGGCTGAATTAAAGGATCCCATAGGCTTCCTTTCCATGAAGGTAGAGTCCCCAACTGAGGACGAATTGTCGACTGAGGAGTGCTGCTTTTATAATCATGCTACATGTCCAGTCATATTTATATCATTCTTTTACATATGTTTTGGGGAAAATGGATGCATTCTTGGATTTCTGGAGTGTATTTTTGTATATAACTTTATGTAGAGCTGGTTTTCGGGCGGAACGGATAGTATATATTTGACTACGTGAGGGTTTAACAAAAGAATTGCACTTGGGGTGGCTAGTGTACTAATTTGTGTTGATGTGATATTATCTGCGAATGTCATGCCCCAAAAGAGACATTATCGTTTCTTGGATATCTTCATGTTAGGCAATTTTTTTATGTGGGACTAATTTATTCGTATTCTGTTTGCAAATCATGTAGCTAACTTTCTGATCTATGCTCGAGTTTCTTATAGTTATTGTGTTTTGTGAGAATTTTTTGTTCTGGCAATTGTGTTCTATTAGCCCCATCCGTTGATTATTTTTTACGTATCAGGCGGCGTAGTTATTCGAATAAATTTCCAGCACGGTTTATGAGTCTCGAACTGGCTGATTGACTATTTGAAACACCGAGTTTATTTTGTTATACTGGAGTGAGCTATTACAGCCTTGTGTATGCCTCTTCTATGGTCGAGAGATTTATCTTTTTAATTGCAGACGAATTCCAAGACCCGGTTCTAATTCATTCGTTCAGGTGAGACATCTTAGGATGTCAATGATGGGCACATTCCTATGGTCATTCCTTTAATACTTCTGACTCTCGGGAGTCGCCTTGTAGGATACTTGGCCAAAGTGTGACCATAAATAATTAGTAATGAGTGCTCGACCTCGACCGTAAATGCTGATCACCATCAAATGTGCTGCGTTTGAGCATAATTTCTATATTAGAATCTTTAATGTAATTCTACTAATAGCGACGTGAAATCTCCAAGCAATGTTAATGGAAGTTCATGTGCTTTTAGATGAAAAATAAGTAAATCGTTAATTAAATAACTTTATCAGTTGTAGAAGTGGTCAAGTTGTAAAGTTCCTGGTTCGCATCCGTTGCCATCACCACTCCAAATTGAAGAAGGATAACAAATAACTCCAACCAAAATGTGAAGAATACACTGGAAATAGAGAAGATGCCGTTTTACACAAAGGCTTGAATATTTTGAAGTAGTAGTGTCCTAAAAGTTTTACTCCCTTTCGTTTTATGAGATGCATTCAGGGCTTCTTGCAAATAGATTTTGTGGATTCATCAAGTCTTTGTAATGGTTGATCCTCAGCACCACACCAATTACACACCACTTGAATTAATAAACTCAAATGACAAATGGAATTTTATTAATTCTAAAATAACGATAACAACAGAAGGAGAAATTACAGAGAAATTGATGAAGAAAGAGAAAGAGGTAGAAGAAGACTTGGAGAAGAAGAATACCAATTCACATCACACCTTTTCTATTCTCCTCATTACAATTATGTAACCAACCAACAAGGAAGAAAACGTGAATGTTAGGAAGGAAAAACATGACTTGACATATAAAATTGATTACAACTCAAACGACATCATTTACAACTCAAAACGACACTTTTATTCCTAACTAAAACGACGCCGTTCTGAATTTGAAAATTGGTTGTGACCTCCTTCCCCTTGTGACTTGACTTCCATTGATCCTCTTCTTCTCCTTCGTAACATTCTTCCCCCTTAGACCAACCTTGTCCCCAAGGTTCAGAAGATGGAGGCATATCACTCCCCTTTGGTTCTGGTAACTCAAAAACTGGTACCTCTTTCTCGCCAATTTTCTTCTTTAATAGTGATACGTGAAAAACAAGATGAATATGAGCTCCAACAGGTAACTCCAACTTATATGCAACCTTTCCCAGTCTCTGAATTACTCTGTAAGGGCCATAGTATTTTGCTGCCAATTTCCTGTTAACTCTTCTAGCCACGAAGTGTTGAGAAAATGGGTGCAGTTTAAGGTATACCCAATCTCCTAGCTGAAATTCTCGTTCACTTCGATGTTAATCAGCATATAACTTCATCCGAACTCTGGCCTGTACCAAAATTTTCTTTGAGGATTTAGTCCATCTTGTGCCTCTCTTGAAGTAATTCGTCCACTGCTGTCACATTGATATGTTGATATGGACCTAATGCCAATTGAGGGGGTTTGATTTCATAAAGGGCCTCAAATGGGGTCATTTTAATAGAGGTGTGGATGGTGGTATTGTACCACCAGTCCACCATACTCATCCAGCCATGCATCTAAGGTACATTTCTAAGCACTAATTCAGTCTATCTGTTGGCCATCCGTTTGTGGGTGATAAGTAGAACTTAGTTGCAACTTAGTTCTCAGTTGTTTGAATAATTCTTGCCAAAATGCACTTGTGAAGACTTTGTCTCTATCTGAAATGATACTCTGTTGCATCCCATAAAGCTTGAAGATGTTATCTAGGAATAGCTTTGCAACATTAGCAGCTAAGAAAGGGTGTGATAGAGATAGTGGTGTCAAGCTGGGCGGGCCATCCAGGTCCGCACGGAGGCGAACCCGCCCGTACTTCTGCCCATGAATCGAGTGGGCCGAATCACGGGCCGCGCGGACCTGAAACCGGTCCGGGCCGGTTTAAGGAAAATCGGGCCAGTGGCGTGTTTAAAAAAAAAATAAATAAAGCGCCTGCAGCTGTAGCCTGCAGAAAAACGGTCACAGGTCAAATCTTGTGATCGTTTGACTGTTATATTTAATTTTTTTTTCGAAAATTGCAATGTATAGTAACATTAATTTTTTTTGGTTATAAATTGTGGTATTGTGAAGTGAAAAAATAGCAAACTCTCACAATCTACAAGTTTGAAATCTCTATTTTCTCATTCTCTCTTAATATTTTCAGCAAGTATTTTTAATATTTAGTATTTTGTGTTATCTTTTCATCTTATTATTTCAAAAAATTTTGTTAAAGTGTTATGGACTCTCACGATTTTTTTTCAAAAAATGTCAATTTATATGATAGTCGTTCTCCAATAAATTTGGAAGATGATAATGATCCAAATATTGAATCTTCTCAACAGCGAAGGAATAAAAAGCACACATATGATGTTTGAAAAATCTTTACAGTAGATGAACCAAACAAAAGAGCAATATGCATTCTTTGTAGAAAGAGTTATGCATGGATTAAATGTCAAGACACGGGCACATTGTGAAAACACAAAGATAAACACATGAATGAAAGATGACATTTAGATACTAAACAAGCTCAAATTACTTCTTTTGCTAATACTAGTGGAACGGTTACTTTTTCTAATTTTTGTTATTTGCAGGATCGAATGAGAGTAGGAATGTCTGAATTTTTGGCAGCAAGCGAGATGTCTTTTTCCTTGCTGTAGACCAATATGTCATCAAAGAAGACCAACACATATTTCCTGAGTTGTTCCCTGAAAACTTCATTCATCAAGCATTGGAAAGTGGTAGGAGCATTTGTGAGTCCGAAGGGCATTACCCTGAATTCATAGAGCCCTTAATGTGCTTTAAAGATGTTTTGTGAACGTCTTCTTTAGCCACCTTGATTTGGTGGTACCCTGTTCTCAAGTCTATTTTGGTAAACCATTTTGCTCATTTTAATTCATCTAGTAGCTCATCAATTAGGGGTATATGGTACTTATCCTTGATGGTAAGGCTATTTAGTTGCCTATAATCTACACAAAACCTCCAAGTACCATATTTCTTCTTGATCAGTAAGACAGGAGATGCATAAAGGCTAGTGCTTTGCTGAATTATTCCACTATCCTTCAACTCTTTAACCAGCCTTTCAATCTCTATTTTTATATGTAGGGGCACATATATGGCCTCAGCTTGAAGGGTTGTTCCCCTTATTTAATTGGTATGTGATGATCGTTAAACCTGAATGGAGATAAGCCTTTTGGTTCAAAGAAAACCATTGAAAATTCGTCCACCACTGTCTGAATCTCAGTTGGTACTATTTTCGGTTCCTTGTCAATACTTAAGTCAATTTGTGATATCACTCCATAAGTTTGCCTCTTGAACCAGCTCATTTCCTCCTTTTCTGTCATCATATGACACTGTTCATTAACAACCTGCTTACTTAGTTCCATCTGGGTACCACCATGAGTGAAGGTTATACTTCCTTTGCAGAAATCAAAGAGCACAGGGTTGAACTGGCTTAATCAATCAACCCCCAGAACCATGTTACTACCTTCCAATTTAAGGACCCTCAACTATTACAGAAATTCTAAATCATGTATCATCCAGGTCAATGGGTTGCAAATGGCATTACTCACTAATTTCTCCCCACCTGCCACTGTTACATTCACTAGCTTAACTGGCTGCATTCTGCAATTGAGGTTCCTGGCTAAGTGCTCATCAATAATGCTGTTGGTACTCCCACTATCAATGAGGATGGAGACTCTCCTATTTTTTATGTTCCCTGGGAGTCTAATAGTCTTGGTTCGATTGTTGCCCATTAAGTCATGAATTGAAATCTCCATTACTTCACTCAATTTCAAGGGGTTGCTTAGGTTCTTTGTATTTGGTTCAGTATGGGGTGTATCTTTATGGGTGGTTCAAGTTGGTTTAGTATTAGGAGGGGTCCATTTGGCTGGTGCATAAGGTTTATAGGGCTTTGCTTCTTTATTTATGACTATAATGGTGTTCTTCTGCAATAGAGCTACCTCAAAAGCCTTGGCTAAGGTTGTAGGCTTAATGATTTTTACCATAGATTTGATCTCATCCTTCAGGACACTAGTGAAAATAGATATGTAGTAGGATTCACGTAGATGAGGCAGTGACAACATCAGATGTGATTTCATTTTTTCAAATTGTTCATGAGATTCAGCAATAGATCCTTTCTGTCTTATCTTATTGAAAACTTCAATTACTTCTTCAGCTGTGTTTTCTGCAAATCGTCTACAAATTTTAGTAGAAAATGTTCCCCAATCCGCACCTGGAAAGCTGGTTATAAACCCATGGAATCA